TAGGACTGAGTGCTCATCTCGGGGGAGTGGGGGGGGGCTTTGTGAACCAAACGAAAGGCATTGGGACGCCCCTGGATAAATCCTGCTGCCTTCACATGTTGACTCCTGCGCCTAGTTCTGGTCTCCGTGCCTGAGAAGGGGGGCAAGGGTGATGAGTGCACTGGAGGGGTTTCCTTACGGGGGAGACTAAAGAGGCCAGGCCTGGTCAGTGTAGAAAAGAGACTTTTGTTGGGGGGCATGCTAAGGGTTCACAAAATACTAAATGGCAGAGATTTGTTGGAGTCTCAGACCAGTGGAGACTCCCTAAGCCTGAAGAAAGGCGATTGCGCCCAAAAACTCGCCAAGAACTGTTTTTGAACTGCTGAGTTGGAATAATGAAATATATTGCATCTACCCAAAGAAGAGTTGCTTGTACATGCCGAAGAGAAAGTCAACAGGGATTTATTATTGACTCTCTCTCACCAGACCAAAACAGGGACGGGGCAACACAAACTGAAATTAGTAGCAAGTTTAAAATGAGCAAAAGGATGTTTTCTTTCATGCAGCCTGTAATTAAAATGTGGACCTCGTTGCCGCCAGATATAGAGGAAGCTAACGGCTTTGCTAGGCTTGGGCACGTTCCTGGAGGAAAGGGGCATTGGCTGCTATTGAGCATGGGGTCGAGGGGCAAAGCCTCCGAATCAGGCCTTCCATAGGCCTTAAATGCTGGAGGGTGCAAGTGAGAGAGGAACAGCTGGGAGGGAAAATGCTGTTCAGACCCTTCTGCCTCTGCCTGGTACGACTCCAGAGACTTGGCAAGGCACATCTACGGTCTGACCCAGTACATGGCAGGTCTTATTGTCCCAGTGCTCTGTTCTGTGGTCCCATCCTTTGTACAGAGCAGTGCCTGTGTAAAGGCGTTGTTCTTGGGCGTTACATGGGGTACTTCGCTTCTTGGCAGCTGAAGCAGCTTTGCCCTAGGTTTTGTTTGGCATGTGGACCCTGACAAGCCTCTGGATGCAGCTGTCAGCAAACAAACCAGGATGGGAGAAGCTGGATGGTGCTCCTCCTCTTCAAATGTTGCTAATTTGTTGGGATGTCAGCCTCTTAAAAGCCTATTAGTTGCCGCTGTGTTTTGTCTTGATAATCCCATGAAGCGGGACTGATGTCACAAAACTGGGGCAGAGACATCCAAAGCAGTGAGGGGCTAACAGGGTTGGCTTTTGTATATGATGTTTTTTGCAGGGTCTTAATTGTGATGCTTTTAGGAGTTAAAATAGCTGTCCTCTTGACCTGGCTTCAAATGCTATCAGGGTTGAGAAGATAAAGGAAGTCAACATGGATGTCTTGATCGCAGGATGCATGTAAACAAGATGAACTTAACTGGGTACCTATTGAAGACTTAGTCACTGCTGTTCTCTTCCCTGCTGCTTTTCTTAGACAGGCGGATGTCATTCAAAATCCCCAGGGTTATTTTTAGATATGTTTATGTATTAAGCAGCTTACTTGCATGGCTGAGATGTTCAGAGGAGTTAAGAGTATTTATGTACACGCTTCTCGCTAACTTTACTGCAAAATAAGAGTCTGTAACCCCTAGATTGCTTTGAAAATGTCAACCTGGGAATAATTTGGGGGGGGGGGGGGGGGGGGG